AGCCAGGATGTGGAACAGTGTGTTCCCTCTTGACATGGCAGCAGGTTTTTCAGCGTGACCTTTCGGGGACCTTTTCACATGCTGCCATCAACAGTAAGGGTCATGTATGTGTTCCGCGTCTCCACCTCCTTAGGGCCAGCCCCCTGCCTTTCACCTTCAGCTTCTGCCAGCCACACGCCTGCTTTGCCGTGGCCTCCTATGGGCTCTGCCGCCAGCCTGGCCCCGTTTCAGTGAGAAGGCCCTGGGGGGCCTCTCTGTTCTGTCATGAGGGGTCCTAGGGCTTCTGGAAGAGAACCTAGCTGAATGTGCTGCACAGAGCTGTGACCAGCAGCCAGGGGCCCCGGAGCAGCTCACGCTGTGAACTCCCTCCTCACTGCCACGCATGAAAACTATCCTTCCGATAAAACCACTTACACTAAAATATCACGCTGCCTGCCAGGGGAAAATGTTTCTCAAGGAGCAGTCCGAGAAGGATCTGGAAGGAACGAGCAGCCTGTCTACCTTCCGCGACAGTGCAAGTTTGGTGCTTTGAAGCCGCCCCTCCCCTCCTTCCTCCACGCCTCTTCCTCCTTCTCTCCGTCTTTTCCCCTCTGCACCGCCCCCCTCCACATTAGCCTTAGCTCCAGCACACCTCCCTGCTGTCCTCGGGTTCCGGTCCAGTTGAGCCAGCATGTCCCTGAGATGTCACGGAGCGCTTCCCCAGCAGGGGCAGCTCAGCTCTGTTATAGTCACTCATTTATTCATCAGTAGTCAGTGGGCACCTGCTCTGTGCCAGCAAGGCAGTAGATCCTAGGAACAAATTAGGGGGATTCCCAATGGCTCTGGGGGAGATGACTCCACGGGCCAGTTCTGCTGGTACCAACACAAGTTCCCAAGTCCCTTCACTGTAAACCTGGTTCCCTGATGCTGGGCCGCACGCAGGAATCTGCATTTTCTTTTTTCTTTTTTTTTTATGTGTATTTACTTTTGCGAGAGAGCGTGTGAGAGCAGCAGGAGCAGAGAGAGAGGGCGACAGAGTCTCTGAAAGTGGGCTCCGTGCTGATAGCAGACAGCCTGACTCGGGGCTTGAACTCACGAACTGTGAGGTTGTGACCTGAACCTGACTTAGACACTCAACCGACTGAGCCACGCCGGCATTTTCTTTTTTTTTTTCCTTTTTTTTTTAATTTTTTTTTTAAATTTATTTCTAGCAGAGAGAGAGAGAGAGCAGGGGAAGGTCAGAGAGAGAGGGAGACACAGAATCTGAAGCAGGCTCCAGGCTCTGAGCTGGCAGTCAGCACAGAGCCCGACGCGGGGCTCGAACCCATGAACCGCGAGATCATGACCTAAGCGAAAGTCGGACGCCCAACCGACTACGCCACCAAGGCGCCCCCACCCAGGCATTTTCTAAAAAGCCATCCTGGCGATGCTGGTGCAGGCAGGCCCCAGGCCCATCTCAGAGCAACATTCTTTCGCCCGTGGGGGTGTATTGCTGAGAGTGTTTGTTGACTGACTGTACAGCCTGATGTCGGCTGCCTTGCTTGCTCTCGAGGGGTTAGAAAGTACAGCATCTTGGAGTAGGACTTCACTACACATGTATGTGAAGGTGGGGAATTTGGCGACGCTAAGCATAGGCTTTGGGGAGACTGTTCCAGCTTACCAGAATTCCTTGATGTGCTCAGCACTTGCTCTCAAGAAAATTGAGGTGCTCCTTGGGGCACCTGGGTGGCTCAGTCGGTTAGGCGTCCGACTTCAGCTCAGGTCATGATCTCACAGTTCGTGGGTTCGAGCCCCACGTCGGGCTCTGTGCTGATGGTTAGCTCGGAGCCTGGAGCCTGCTTCAGATTCTGTCTCCTTCTCTCTCTGGCCCTCCCCTGTTCATGCTGTCTGTCTCTCTCTCTCAGAAATAAATAAAACATTAAAAAAATTTTTAAAAAAGAAAAAGAAAATTGAGGTGCTCCTGTGGCTGCCTCATGTCCCTCCTCCTCTACAGACTCCTGCACTTGGCTACACTTCCCGTGTCCAAATTGCAGGCATTTCTTTATCACTAGCGGGGCCCTGGCCTTCAGCTCTCCCAGAATGACTGTTCTCTGCCGTTTGCCTCTTCTGGCTGGGTGAGAACACACCCTCCCTCCTCCCCGCCGGTAAGTAGGAGGAGCTAGTAGGTGTTAGTATCACTGTTCAGTTGCAAAGAACAGAAGTGTGTGTAACATGGCTTGAATCAAGGAGATAGAACACAAAGACACAGGGGCTCTCACATGACCCAGGGGCAGAGAGCAGAGCGGGGCCTGTTGGCTGATGGGAAGCCAAAGTCACTAGGCAGTCCCACCCTCGCCAGGGCCCCACACCTTCACCGTGCGTCTGTGTCCTTCCTCCACACGATCGTGCGCTTACACGGGAGCCACTGCAGCTGCCCCAAAATGGCGCCCTGAGTCCTGCAGATGAATGAGGCCATGTGGGTCTAGCTTCCAGCAGCTGCCTGATTCCACGTTTCAGGTAATCCATGATGCTATTGACCCAGTTTGAGTTTGGTGCTCATTCCTGGTTCAGGGAACTGAGGCCAGGAAGGGTGGGCTCACATAATGCTTTTCCATGCGGGGGGTCAGCTGTCTCTCTCTGAGGATGCAGGGCTGGGAGGAAACGAGCAAGTAAAATGGTACTTTCCCTGGTGTGGCGGGCGTGGCTGAGCAGCATCTGTAGAGGGCAGCGTCCCATACATGGAGGTGTGATTGGTATATGATTTCTGGAAAAAACATTACGGATGGGTCTCACAAAGGAACATTATTCATG